TCGAATAAAGGTTGGATAAGGGATATATAAAGTGCAATTTTTGTGGTTGGAGGAAATTTATGACAATTGCGCCACATGAGCCCAAGTAACCTGTTGGCCTTGCCAACGACATGGTCAACATGAAAAGCAAACGTTAGTTTTTTGTCAATAAAAATGCCTAAGTCTCTATGCCATTCAACATTTTCAAGTACCTCGTTAGAAATCATGTATTTAAAATTAATTGGTTTAATTTTAAGTGTGCAAGAGAGCACTTTGCATTTCTCAGACTTCAGAGACATTTTCCAATTGGTAACCCAATGTCCGAGTTTGTCAAGGTCGGCCTGGAGTGCATGCGAGTCCTCAATGCTGGAAATTATTTTATATATCTTGAGGTCATCTGCAAACATAAGGCAGCTGGAATTTTCAAAAAGGCTAGGTATATCGTTTACGAAAATATTGAACAAAAGGGGGCCTAAAATTGAACCTTGTGGCACACCAGAGAGAACAGGAAGTAGATTTGATGTTTCGCCTTCAAGGGTCACTCTCTGGGATCGACCACTAAGGTAACTTTTAAACCAAGAAAGTAAAATGCCATTGACACCATATTGATGAAGTTTAGAAAGCAAAAATTTATGTGACAATTTGTCAAAGGCTTTACGGTACTGAAATCTGTGTATATGATATCGCATTGTTTTTTAGAGTGCATGGCTTCATACACGGTAGACATTAGTGTCGCGAGATTCGTTTCACATGATCTACCATGTAGGAAGCCGTGTTGTTGTTCAGGTATTAAGGGGAAAACATTGTTTATCAGTTGTTTATTTACAATTTTTTCAAATATTTTAGATATTGTTGGGAGTAATGATATAGATCTATAGTTTTGAACTTCAGTCTTAGAACCACTTTTGTGTATCGGAACAATGTTCGCTATTTTCCATTGATCAGGAAATTTACCGGATTTTAAAGAAGATTTATTTATAAAAGTTGAAAAGCGGGACAATTCGGGGTTTTGGCGGGACAGCGGGACACGACTTCGAAAAGCGGACAGTTGGAATCTATGAATGAGGGTGGTCCACCTAGCCGAAGCTGATCATTAGGGACCCTCATCACTCACAATAAAACAAGACAAAAGCGAGTATGAAATTAATTAATTAATAAATTTTACTCCTTAGGACCAGAATTTTTTGCTATAGCTTCCCAAGACTAGAAATGCCGTCCAAGATGCAAAATATACGACTAAATGTTACACAGTAGTACCCTACTTTGGGACACCCTTACTCATGGGACCCCTATTTAGGTCACACTTTTTCGATGAGAATGTGAGAATTATATCACACACTACACTACGGCCTACCCTTATTAAGGAGACACCCCTATTAATACGACAGGAACACTCTCTTTGTGTGCCAAATGGTCAAATCAATATATATTGATATAATTTATAAGGGGACACATTTTTTTTTTCGTTGTACAGTATTGCAAAAACTAGAGCAGTCTCAAATATAAAATCTTCCAACTTATATTTTGACACCTTTTGAATTTTTTTAGGATTCCAATCTGTATCATAACATGCATCCTAATTTTGAGTCGTTACTCCATTCATGCTACATGCATCCAATAGAAAGTTCAATAGTGAAAATAAAAAAAAAGAATATTTCGTTATTGAATTCGCATCGTATTCGGTCATAATAATAATTGTAGTTTTAATTATATTACTGCTGATTTTATATTTACTGGTAAATGAATTTTGCATTAAAAATTATTGATATAAATTAGTTCTACTGTAACTCATTTTTAGGTCAATAAAAATAAAATTGTGTAATTTTGAAAACGCTATACCAACACCCAAACTAATAAGGGTACATATTCACGCTTTTGTTTGTGTCACTTGAATATGGGTACCCTTATGAGGGGTTCTAAATGGGTCCCCTTAATAGGGGTTCTACTGTATATCGAAGTACTGTAGTGTCTTGTAACAACAATGTGATTAAACATAGGCCTACTTATTAAAGAAAATAATTACGGTACCTAAAACAGCCTTTCAATTTTATTTTCATGATTTGTTGATTTCCATCGGTTTACTATGACTGTTAATTCTGACAATGGTTGCTAGTACTTTGTCATATTTTGATTCCCAGAATGCCCGCCAATTTAGTAGGCACTAAGGCGTGAATATCCCTCAATAGTAGACAAATAAGGAGCTGGGGATGTGAATGAGTGACACAACACTGTAAAATGTTTACAAGACCAAGACAAATATTCCTGTGTATTTTGAAACACAAACACTATTAAACAAACGGCGGTCTGACTGAGATTATAGTACACTGCAGGCGCAAATTGAAGACAATAGCCAAAAACATTTTTTTTATTCGATCCTTGAGTAGAAAGCAGTGGCCGATTCAGGGGGTGGGGGTCCTTTTTAAAATTTCAAAAAAAATTGAGAAAAATATAATGGTGCGGCAATCATAAATTTTTACAGCAACCATAGGGATCTAATTGATATAGGCCTATGTGATGTAAAATTAATCATCATTGATGTAATATTAATCGCTGCAATGTACGATAGAAAAATGTAACATAAGCCTAATTGTCTTCAATTTATCTACTTTACCTACTTCATGTGCCGAAAACCAATTTATCTTTACACGCTTTTTCTCATACTTCTCAAATTATAATAAAGACACACGCACACGAGTCGTGTATTATAGTTAATTCAGATGTTTGTGAACAGAAACACCGGTACTGTATTGTGGTCTTTCGTTAAAATCTGGTTATTTATATAGTTCAATTCAACAATTTCCAGGTATCTTCTTGACTTCCTTAGAAATTTACATTGTTGACGAAAAGTGAGGGGACCACCCCCTTAAAATAGTTTAGGTACGTGTCCCCTGTCACCCCCCCCCTGTATAAGAGACAGTGTCCATGCTATTCACCAGAGGACAAGGCTTTATACAGAAAATTCGACATCGGATCCAGAACTTACGTAAACATTTTTTTATATGAAGAGAGTAGAATATTAGGCCTTTTTCAAATCAATCAATTATCAGTCATGATTATACATTTTTAAATGCAGCAATTATTTTTACGCTATTTCCAATATTTTTTTAAATTTTATTAGCTATAAAATTTAATTCGTGTTTTTAGGTAAGAAACATTAATAGGCCTATTCCTATATAGGTCATACTAGTTGATGAAAATCACGTACGTTTTTCCGACTCCTGAGTCTCAGCTGGGTCAGCACGAACTGGGCAGGCCTCACTATTTGTCAATTAATCATACCTATCACTGTATTCAAATTAAAATTGTATTATTGTCATAGAACTAAGCATCTACCCTGTAATTAAATATTACAGAGGCTACTATCTAACAATTTCAGTTTTACTTCCGTGTTCTGGGACGTGACGTACGAACTTCCGTACGTACGTACGTACGTATGTGCTGCGTAACAGGGTACGCGCAGACTGTTGAAGATATGTTAACCAATCAAAAGCGTCAGCGGCAAATCAAATTAAAGCGCTTCGTAACCAAGACATGCACAGCACATACATCGTAAGCAGGGCGTAACAGCCCAGTTAAATAGTTCAGTTTTCTTTGCTATAAAAATCACCTTTCCCGTGGGTGTATTTTTGTAAACTTTTTTTATGTTGTAGAGATAAAATTTAACTATATATATTCATAAAAAAACGTTTTTTTGCAATTATGTCCAACTTCGGTGCTTCAAATCCGTATTTCTGGTGGACTATGGCTCTGGTGTGACGTTTTCAAAAAAGGGAGTACAGTACGCTCTCTAGACTCAGTTTCGTACATAGAGCTATTAAACACACAGATTTGAACATCAGTAAAGTAACATGCAGTAATAGTTCTGAGCTTAATTTTACAATTTATTTAATAATTATATAAGAGAAAAATTAGAACTTTTCCTCTGGACTTACTAAATAACTAATCAATGTAAAGGTCCATAACAAGTTCAATAAAAAGAATAACGATATTCTCATTACAGGTATCAAATGAAGCTTCATTGACCAAAAGGCGTCAGCATAATACTGTAGAAAATGTGTTTTTCTTTTAAATAGAAAAGCATAATGTATGTGTATACTAAGTTATATATCATGTAGGTTTTAAAATATATACAGGTTTAATTTTACATGTAATGAGTCAGCCTGAACTTTTTATCAATTATGTAGAAAGCTGATTTAGGAATGAACGGAGTGTGTTTCAGAGTTTAATTTTGCATTTGGTAACCTAAAAAAAAAAATAATAACATTTTCTGCCTTTGTAATAGTTATAATAATAAATAATAAATTTAGTCGTTAATAAATCATTTACAACTAAAGTATCCTACATACACATCAGTCAAGTGATGATATAAAATAATTTAGAGTTAAAATTAACAGTTTTATTTAATAATAAATAACTAACTAATCAATGTAAATATCATTAACATAATTAATAATTATAATAATATATTAATCTCATTACATATTAAATGAAACTTTATTGGACAAAGAGTCTCCATTTGATGCCTGTACTGTATAAATTTAGGAACTGTATAGGCCTACTTAAGTTTTCCTTACCGTATCCGCCTACAAAATATGCGGAGTATATACACTGCAAAGGATGTGATCAAATGATCAATACAATTTCAACCAAAATAGCTTAAACATCAGTGAAGTAATAATCGTATAGTTCTGAACCTAACGAAATAGTTTTATCAAAGAATATAGAATAGCAAGAGGTCACGCAATGAATCGAAAGTAATACCACGAGTTAAATTAAATAGCAGAAGAATGAGCTGTTCCGCGCATTTGCATTAAAATTGATGGAGCATCCACCCTCCTGCGAGTGGGGTAAAATTTGACCATTTGACTGAGTGGAGAAACTACAGAAAACAAACGAACCAAAGCGGTACCTTTATTATTGATGTATAGCACCGCCGCGCGGACGGGGTAAAATTGCTCTCCGTGTACCCATAATGCATTTCGAACGGATATTTCACTATCGGAAAGCTGCTCTATCTTCCGTTTTTTTGTTATCTTTGGTTTTTACGTGTATCATTTCTTTTGCAGGACGTCCTCTAGCTTGTGGTAGTAGCTTAAACACCTATTCATTAATAGGATTCCATTTTGCAGAAACCCCGTAGTCGAACCTCTTCATGCATATTCTGTAGTCTGGTTTTATTCAATAGTTTATACAACAAAAATAAAATGTAAATATTGTCAAAAATATTTGATACTATTCCAATGCTTATAATTTCGAAATGTAAATATTATTATTAACATGATCAATGAATATAATATATTATCATTGCCTATTAAATGAAGCTTCATTGGCCAAAAAGCCTCCGCATGGTATATGTATAAATGTTTAACAAATGTATACATAAGTATTTGCATAACAATAAAAAAACAAACATATATATTTAATATTTATATCGTGTAAGTTTTCAAATATATACACGTGTAATTTTACATGGAATGTATACTGCTCTTTTATTGAACGTTGAATTGACATAAGTATTAGGCCTATGTAGAACGTTGATTTAGAAATGAATGGAGCTTGTCTCTGAATAATATCAATAAATCGTGGACTGTTTGTGTTTGCATACCACATAGAAAAAAACTTCCTGCATATTTTTAAAGATAGGGGGCAGTTTAATGTTTTACGATTGTGATTCCTGAAGTTCTTTAACCACTTGAATTTCCTCCTACTTGCGTTGTTTCTGTGCTTTTATAATGGTTACAAAAATCATGTAAATATAAATTTGCTGAAAAATATTAATCTTTTATTTTTTTTATGTGAAGCACTTTGACTTCGTACTTAATTATATTAAATATTGATGCACAATAATAAGAAAAAAATATGCCTTGAGAATTTTAACCTTTGAAGCGTCTTATGCTTAAAACAGATCTACTTAATAAAACACAACTGGTACCGTATGAAATGACATCTCGAAGTGAACTATTGCCACATTATTGTATGAGCTGTTGAGCAGGCTTGGTGAGTAGGTCTAATCTCAAAATAATTATGTCACATAAATAGAGCTATATTGATATTATAATTCGATTAACAAATATACTTGATGGTAGAAAGTCAGTCCTTTCTGTCTCTTTCAATTGCTTGAATCAAACAGCAGGAGAACATCAACGCCAAAAACTGTAAAAGTGTAAAATATTTAAAAAAAAAATCAAAATCAGATAAACAGAAACTTGCAGACCAACCAAAATTAACTAATTTATTAACTGTCTATGTATAAGGTCTCCCTCCAATTAACGACCACTTTTAGGACCGGGGTTTATGGTCTTTAGCAGTTTTGGTCTCTAATTAAAATAATATAGATAAAAGAAAGTTGTTAATTTGGGACCACAGAAAAGTGGTCTTCAATTGGAGGGGTCTTTTATTAGAGGGTGTATTTGGGATAAACGCAATTGAAAAATATAATAGTAGAGTGTTTATGTATGTACTGCGCCGTTTATAAGGTGGCAAATTGTACTCTACTGTATGCTTAAATACATTTCTCTTTTTAAGTGGCAAGTAGAGTAAGTAGATTAGAGGTGAAGTGAACCAAAACAAAATTTCACTTTAGCTCAGTCTTGTTTTGAACAAATGAATATTTGTGTTAATTACCTGAACGCCAAGAAGGCCAAGACAAACGCCCCCAAGTACTGTTAGATTATCATTTATCCAGCTACTCATTTCGTCAACGCAACCCTGTTTAGATAAGGAAGAAGATTATAACTCTGTAATAAATTGATGTATACTTTCATTTCAGATAAATCCAGTATCTTCTTCAAGGTGATTACAATATTTTCGTCGTTCTGTCAGAACACTACATGTTGATAATGACGTCAAGAATTAGTAGTAGATTTATCTCAAAATAAGTTATAGGCTACTTTAAGATGGTTACTTCATAAAATAGTGTGTTGCCCGTCTTAGTCTGAGCTACATGAACAGTAAATGCATTCAGACGACTGTCAATTGAAAAAGTTCACTGCCAGAACGAATGCTCGTGAAAAAAAATTGTTATTCTTAAAACTGCTGCCTGTATTTTTGACTACTTACAAATCATGTAAATCGTGTATTATGAGTGATTACTTATATTTGGTTTCTAATTATAAAAAAAAATACCAAGATGAAATAGACAGATTTATAATTAAAATTTGCAAAACCAACATAAGAAACCAGGATGACACATGAAGTCAAAACGAACTCAACTTATATCCAATACCATGAAAAGAAAAATCCGACAAGAAATAAATAAGTACCAGAACAAACAAGGAAAAATATTAATGTAAATACCTAGTTGTGTGTGTGGGGGGGGGGGTGTGGGGGGGGGGGGGTGCGTGTGTGTGTCTAGTGAGGTGTGAAGACTTACTTTTACATAAATGCCATTCACATCGTCTGGCTGTCCTGGAACGCCGGCATTGCAAGTTTTTGAAGGAGGTTTCTTACAGCAAGATATTGGGACAGCTGTTGCCGGGTTTTCTTTAGCCCATTCCGAGTAAGCGTAGTCTGTGTAGTTAGTGGCACCACAGCATAGAAGCTGTATAGAAAAAAGGTAAATATTGAAAAATTAAGTAAATTACAATAATGATTATATTCGTATATGTATTTTTCATCAACATCATCATCATTTTTTTTGTCATCGATCGTCAACATAACCATCATCACAATTATCATCATCATCAGCCTCATCATCATCATCCCCACCATCATCATCATCACCATCACCACCATTACCATCACCATCACCATTATCATCACCACCATCATCACCATCATCACCACCACCACCACCATCATCATCATCATCGCCAAGGCCACCACCACTATCATCATCGTCATGATCATCATTACTATTATCACCATCGTTGTCGTCGTGATCATCGTCGTCGTCCTCTTACAAAAGATGGCATTGATTTTATTTCAAATATTGCTAGCTCTTCGGTGATGTTCTTGTTTCTTACATTAGGAAGTGTATCATATATAAACACGTTGAATGAGCATGCACATTTATAAGGCTATAATTGTCCAGACGAAATTACATAACTCATCAGAAATTGTTACAAGAAAAACCATCAACAGTGTTGCTATACAATACAATCTTATAATCATATGATATTCGGTACGGTACAGTACTGAATAGGCCTATAAATTTAATTATACTTTTAATCCTATGTATGGTACATCTCAATCAATTGTACTATTCGTCATTAGACATTGCGCGTTCTACCAACTCGAGCCATTGATTTCTGTCGTGGACCAGGTATGTGTCAAGTGCTTGGTTGATGTCTACAATATCATGAGATAAAAAAATATTGTACCAATAAAGAAAACGAGAAGTCGCATTGTTGTATTAGTTGGAAGGCATTTGTCTTCTAGTGCACATTATAATTTACTGTAGGCAACCATAGTTAAACCCTTTCTCCTGTTGATATCTCGCTTTGTTACCCCGCCAACGAAGTTAGCTGGAGGTTATGTTTTTGCCCCTGTTTATTTATTTATCTGTCGGCATATTTGTTGTGAACAACCTATAACCCATAGTTTTTATTCAGAAATTCTTAAAACTTGGCCACAATGTTCCTTTCAATTCAATTTCTTTTATTGCTTCGAAAGTAATCATGGGCCAATATCCGCTAAAACATGCACAAAAATGTACGAAATTCACAAAAGAACACACTGACATAGGCCTATGAAAATATGGGAAAAGTACAACAATTGTCGAATTTCAGGTCGAGGAGCAGTTTGACAGTGGATGAGGAAATCTGAGATGGATCAATAGAAATGGAATATGCAAGTTTCAAATGCAAGTTTCAAGGAGTATGAAAGGAAAGATGAAGCAAAACGAGAAGTTAAACATGCGATAGGTAGGAATGCAGAGTCCCAGAGTGGCGAAGAGATGTAGAGCAATGATGACGGGATGGAAGAGGTGTTAGGAGGGTGAGATTCAATTTGGTCATTTTTTCCAAGGTTGCACAGAGAAGATGGCACTTGATTCGGTTTTCAAAAAGAGGGATGTTGGAGTATTCAAATATTGAAAGATAGGTGAAATGTGTAGGCCATAAATTATGCAGACGTATTCCATAACTGGAGGAATGTGGCACTTATATCAAATAGCAAGGGATTGACAGTCGAGAAAATGTTGTAAGTACAGTACTTTAATATAGAAACCTTTCGGAGACAAGATTTGGGAATACCACTTGGGGTCTTTTGAGACAGTTTGATCTTTACCAAAGATCTAGAGTTTAAAAAATTTGAATGGGGCAGGGTCAAAGGTCAAATTCACAATCAAGGAAAACTATTTTTGTATTTATTTGTCTACAGCTCAAAGTTTTCATCACAAATTTGTCAAACTTGGACACAAATGTTCCATGATCAAATATCTCAAGATAATTGAATGTTAAAGGGTCAGGGTCAAATGTCAAGGTCACAATAAAAAATAAACGATTTTTTATCAGTTTTTATCAGAAATTTGTAAAATTTGTCCACAATGTTCCTTTACCAAATATCTTGAAGTGACTACATTTTGAAGGGTCAGGATCAAAGGTCATGGACACAATGATCGACAAACTACTTAAGTTAAGTATAACTGTCCGCCATATGGACGTGTGTGTGGGCTTGCCGGTAAAGTGTAAATAAACATATGACCATTAATTTCAAAGAGATATATGTGAAAACAGCTTCTCCAAAGTACCAGTACTGGGGTTTTCTCCATTTTTTCCTTTTATTGTAGGGAAAATTTATACTGAGGAGAATTATGATGTGGGCGGAGGTATGCGCTCTCCGAGTAGCCTCTACTTCTAGTGACGTTTAAAACACTTGTTCTGAGTGTACCTTCCATACCTTACAAGTAATCTTACTCGCTACTTGCCGACTCGTCAACTTTGATCTTCACAAAATCTTCTCATATGGCCAAAGAACATTTACATGCTGCCTCGTATCTTTGGAACGTTATTATTATTATTATTATTATTATTATTATTATTATTATTATTATTATTGTTGTTGTTGTTATTGTTATTGTTGTTATTATTATTATTATTATTATTATTGTTGTTGTTATTGTTATTGTTATTATTATTGTTATTGTTATTATTATTATTTATTAATATTGTTAATATTATTATTATCGTTATTATCGTTATAATTATTATTATTATTATCGTTATCATTATCATTATTACTTTATCTTATCTTCATTTCTCATTAAAGCAATGGGGAAAGCTCTATGTCCTGTTCTTCAAACAGACATAGTAAGTCTAGTTATTATTATTATTATTATTATTATTATTATTGTTGTTGTTGTTGTTGTTGTTGTTGTTGTTGTTGCTATTGCTGTTGTTGTTATTATTATTGGCTTTCCCAGCAGTACCGGGAAAAGCCATTTACTGCCAAGCAAATCTGCTAGTAATAGTTTATCCATGACTATATTACATCGAACCTCGCCCTAAGTGTTGAAACTTTGCACCACAAGTACCGTTGTCAAGCGTCCTCGCCCCGTATGGTTTTAATAATAGGAATGTTACTTACATCTTCTTGAAGTTTGTCGATACTATTGGTTATTGCAGTAGCCTCCCCGTATTGGGTTTCCAGTTGATTGCTCAATTGTCCGTTGATGTCGTTGAACACCTGCCGAAAGAAATTGATGATATTAAAAAAAGTCATATTTTTTGAAATTCATTTCATAACTCTAAAGCAACCGTGTAATGTGTATAATTATAAACATTCTTTCATCAACTTACGTCATCTCTATAGACTAAAGCCATTATTCCAGCCACTAATTCAGTAATGATAGCCGCAATGACCAACACAAAATACTGCAGGACAAAGAAAATTAATGTAGATTTATGATACACAAGTCATACACATTATATTTTATATATAGTAATAATAATAATAATAATAATAATAATAATAATAATTATAATAATAATATAAATCATGATATAGAGATATAATCTCTAAATCGTCTTGCGAAATTCTTTACGGTAACTAGGCTTATATACATTTGAACGTTAAAGAAGAGGAATCTGCAAAGCGGAAAACCCGGAACCTTCTGCTGTCTATGTTGTTCAACGTCTAATACATACATACATACATACATACATATACATATACATATATATAT